ATGTAATTCGTTCAGTAACTTTTACAATATTTTGTTTTCGCCTAAGCCATGGTTATTGTCTTATTTCAACATTATCTCATGTCTGTTGCTGTAGTACTTTCTTTTGTTGGGTAAACTTGATGCGTGATTTTACAAGTTGGCTGTATGGTTAAATTATATATTCAATATTATTATTTCTTGTTTCAACTGATTGATCATTAAGTTTAAGGCTGTTTTTCCGTTTTTGCACAGGAATGTGGTGCTGCTTTTGTATTTTTTAGAACACGGTATGCAGCTGTTGTTACGTCAGAGGTTCTTCAGTCATCCAATCCCATGCATTGGGTTACTGATCTTGCCCCTGAACCGCATGATGTTTATTGGTCCAATCTTTGGATTCCATACAGACAGCTCTGGTTCCGCAAGATAGCAATACTTGTTGCCAGCATTGTTTTTATGCTTCTGTTTCTTATTCCAGTCACTTTTGTGCAAGGTCTAACCCATTTGGACCAGTTGCAGCAGCTATTCCCCTTTCTAGATGGTTTACTAAAGAAGTATGTATCGTATCTCTGTGTTTCTGAACTTTGTTTTAATTTTGTTTCTTAGTTTTTGTACCCAAGTAGAGGCTTTGCTTTTCAGTTGTGAACACTTGATTCTATTTTTTCCTGCAAATGTTTAACTTTTTCAGCATATAAAATATCAGAACACTCCTACTGTCAACAACAATGTAATATGCTTACTGTATGCAGGAAGTTTACAATCGAGATAGTGTCAGGCTACCTCCCTAGTGTCATTTTACAATTGTTCCTATATATTGTTCCACCCGTGATGCTGCTATTTTCTTCTGTTGAAGGGTCCATCTCGCATAGCACCAGGAAAAGGAGCGCTTGTTGGAAAGTGCTCTACTTCAACATTTGGAATGTGTTCTTTGTAAATGTCTTCTCTGGATCTTTGATCAGCCAGATAAATGCCATATCTAGTCCAAAGGACATCCCAACTGAGCTCGCGAAAGCTGTGCCGAGTCAGGTGATTTCTTTTTTTTTTTTTCTTTTTTTTGGAGTATAGTGCCGAAGTAGTCCCTTTTCTTATTTATATGGGGTCATTTAGTCCAAAGTTTATAAAAGTCTAAAATTAGTTCTCAATTTTTTTTAATATAGTATGAAATAGTTCATAGATAGGACTAAAGTGCTAACTCTTGTTTAAACTAAATTAAGCATTAATCTTCATTTTGCTGTTATTGCAGGCTACCTTCTTTATCACTTATGTCCTAACCTCAGGTTGGGCAAGTTTATCCTCTGAAGTAATGCAGCTCTTTGGCCTTATATGGAACTTCATAAAGAGGCATATTTTAAGATGGAAGGATGATCCAGTCTCAGTTCCATCATTTCCTTATCATACTGAAATTCCAAGGGTTCTTTTATTTGGACTTCTTGGCTTCACCTGCTCCGTACTAGCGCCATTAATATTACCTTTCTTGCTGGTCTACTTCTTCCTTGGATATGTTGTTTATCGCAATCAGGTGAGATCTTAGCCCTGGCCTGTAAATTCTTGTATTGTGATATAAGAATAAATTTTATATTTATTTGCTGAAGCTCCTTATGAACTCTATATTTTGAAAGAATACTATAGCTTAATGCTTTTATTTGTGAAAAATGCAAATATTTCTATTAACTTGATCGTTTTAAATTAGTGTTCTTTCTCAGTTTTTTATTTTGTAGTCTGAAATTTGCTTAGCTCTTTGAGAGGGTGCTTTCGTCCCCTGTGATGGATTTAATTTCTATGGCTTGATGTTTTCCTTATATAGAATTTATGAAGGCAACAATTTTAAATAATTTCTCCTTTTTGAATCTAGTTTTTTCTTGGGCAGCAATTATAATAACTAAAGGCGAGATCTACATCTCTAGAGAATGTTTAGTTCTACGGCTCTGGAGAATGCCTATTGGTTCTGGCATATTCTCTTTAGTCTCACTCTAATGATATTTCTAGATGCTGGAATTGCCTATCTTCCCTTCAACATTCCAACCCTTGTACACATTTTTTTTTGTCATTCCCAACCCAAAACTGTCCACCTTGTCTTTCATGTGATTTCTCAATTTAATAATGAATTTTAATTCTAAATTGAAGTTTGAAATTCAAATCAAACTTGAATTTTAAAAATTAAATTTTCTTGTCCTATCCAATTCCTAAAGTACCACTACCTTTCACCTTATTCTTACTACTCATGATGTAGTCAAACATTGTTTTATCCATTAAGTTTTAAAAATTAGGAAAAGTTAATGATATTGTGGTTATATGTTTATTCATATGCAGAATTAAACTAAGTTGACTTCACAAATTTATGACCCTCTTTGGGAATTTAATAATGAATTTTTTCTTAGCTCTATTTAATATTTATATATTTATATATTTATAGGATACAAAACATGTTTTATTTAATGTCAAAACAATAAATAAATAAAAATAAATAAATATGAGTAATCTCAAACGGCACCTTTGTTTTTTAGCTCTATTTTACTGTTTTTAGGCGTTTTGATTGTTTGATTCCTTATATTTGTGCAGATTCTTAATGTTTATTGCTCAAAGTACGAGACGGGAGGACAAATGTGGCCAATTGCACACAACGCCACCATTTTTTCTCTGGTTCTAGCTCAGATAATAGCTATTGGTGTGTTTGGGATAAAAGAATCCCCAACTTCATCAAGTTCCATCATTCCTCTTGTGATTTTGACGCTTCTTTTCAATGAGTACTGCAGGCAGCGCTTTTCTCCCATCTTCAAGAAGTTTTCCGCACAGGTTTGTTTGCCATCATTCTCAACTTGTACTACAAGTAGAATTACCTGTTTTTTGATAGAGAAGGAACATTTTAACTTCGAGGCATTTACATATTTACCATCCTTTTCTTATGTATTTACATATTTAACCCTTAAACTTCATCTTTTACATTTTGAACACTCAAACCCATTGATAGAGAAGGAACATTTTAACTTCGGGCATTTACATATTTACCATCCTTTTCTTATGTACTTACATATTTAACCCCTAAACTTCATCTTTTACATTTTGAACACTCAAACCCTTCATATCACATCAAAAATATCACTATTTTAACTTTTAGAAAATGAAATACACCTTTTCATGCATAGGTAAGTTGGCATATATGTAAAAATTGATGTTTAGTTGTTTTATATGCAATATGTGAATACTTACGAATTTAGTGATATGTATGTGAGTTTTCCTTCTCCTTTTTAAATATTTTTAAGTTTGTTATAGCATCAACAAGCTTAGTCTCTATCCTCTGTCTTCTTAAGTTTCTCCATTCTTGTACTTGCATCACTGCAAGCAACTGATTTTTCATTCATCTTGAGTGCTGAATGAAATTACTTGTAAAAACCTTGTTCGCATTGGCTAATTTGCTAAATTTTATTTGATCTAGTAAGCATTATGTGCATTGCTTTTCTCAGTATGGGTGCGCATTCGGCCGGCTTGGATAGATTGGTTTTCAAATTGATCAAACCGATTGCAACTAAAATCTAGAAAACCAAACCAATCTAACTTTTAATAAGACTTAATCGATTCAACCCACATTTAATTCGGTTTAAACAGTTTGCTTATGAACAAACTGAAATTCAGTTGTTCATTCAGTTTTATTATGAACAAACATCTAGAGTTGCATGTCTTACAACATATAATATTATTTAATTTCATAAATCTTGCATTTAATTTTGAATTTTTGGTTTTTCGGTCAAAACTGAACCAATAATAATAAAAAAAATCAAATATTGAGGTTTTGGAAGGCCGAGATGCATTTTTGAAACCCAATCGAATCAACCAAATGTATTCAGTTAGGTTCGGTTTTTTTATTTTGAATGAAAAATGCACACCTATATTTCTCACTATTTCTAATCTCTTATCGATTTTTGAATTGTTTGGTGTGATCAGGACCTTATTGAGATGGATAGCGAGGATGAGCGGTCCGGGCGGCTGGACGAAATCCTCGAGCAATTACATTCAGCATACTGTCAGTTTCCGGCGGACACCACTGAATTCTGCATTCCGGGCAAAGACTCTGTGGTGACATCTCAAGTTGCTGGTGAGAGTAGTAGTAGTGGTAGTACTTCTAAAGATGTTGTGAAGAAGAGTGGAGTCCTCCATTCCACTTCAGGTGGGCTCCCAGTTTCCAGGTTAAAAGAAGCTGTTGCATCAATAAGCTTGTTGATCACAATTATGAATTCTCAAACATAAAATTTTCCATCTTTTGATCATTAGTCGTTGTTGTGTAAATGCCATTCTTTTGTTTTCAGCCCTTCATCTTCTTTTTTTTTTTTTTTTAAATTTTGTTTGGTTCAGTATAGTATATTAGAAAGCCCATATTGTGTACACAAAGGTAAGCATGCAGCAGAGGCTGTTTCTTTTCGTATGCTGGAATTCATTCATACAGCTTTATGAGGCTTTATGTAACTCACATCAATAACTAGCTTTTGTTTGTAGAAAGATTTGTTGTTGTAAAAATAAGTTTAATGATTTTTTTTTTATCTCAAGGTGACATTTTTACAATTTTTTACATCCATACCATCATTCTTTTGCATGAAAAGGTGTGTAATTCACTTTTTAAAGGTTGAGATGATGGTGTTTTTGAAGTGATATAAAAAAGCTGGGTAGTATAAATGTAAATAAAAGTAAAGTTTAGGTGCTAGGTATATAAATCATTAATTTCACATACATGCTACACAAATGCTATGCTTTTAAATATCTAACATCTATAAGCATTATTATTTTTCATTTATATCATAGAAATCATTAATATTATATAAAAAAAATATAACTTTTAATTTTTAAAAAGTGAAATGCACATTTTCATGTATAGGTAAGGTTAAATAAATATAAAAATTGAAGTCTAGATATTAAATATGTAAATACTTGAGGACTAAGTGATATGTAAATCTTTCAAAAGAAAAACATGCTGATAAATAATTACCAGGCAATGCATTTTAAAATTTCTACCTTTTAATATAGAGTCTAATTAAATGAAGAAATGTTACTGTGGCTCATCATCCATATTATACAAGACATGAATTTAATTGAAATATTGTTCTTTTCAGTGAATCCATCTTTAATTTTGGGGTCATTATCTTATAATTTTTATGCAAAGGATGGATCAAGCGGCTGATTTTTCAAATGGTCATAAATCATTTGTTGCTCAATACATGTTTATATTATCTAGTGGAAAAATTATGAAATATAGAAAAGGAGAGAGTTTAGTTTCCAAATTAAAGAACTAATTAACTTTCACTGTGGGAAAAGTGTAAATTAACGTCAGATCTAACGTCAGGGATATTTTCAACGGAAAATTAGCAACTGATTAGCTTCTATTTGTGTCACCCTGCGGTTTCACCTCTAAATGAAACGACGCAAGCAAGTTGCATCGAGCAGAAGTCACTAATCTAGTGCTCTATGGATGAAGCTAATAAGTATATCAACATCGGCCATATTCGACGCTAAAGCGAATGCAAGGGCCCTAAAATAGTGCTCCCGTGAACCGCAGCTCTATCACGCACCATCGTCTCCTTCGTCTTCTAATATGTAAATACATGAGGACTAAGTGATATGTAGATCTTTCAAAAGAAAAAAACATGCTGATAAACAATTACCAGGCAAAGCATTTTAAAATTTCTACCTTTTAATATAGGGCCTAATTAAATGAAGAAATGTAACTGTGGCTCATCATCCATATTATACAAGAGATGAATTTAATTGAAATATTGTTCTTTTCAGTGAATCCATCTTTAATTTTGGGGTCATTATCTTATAATTTTTATGCAAAGGATGGATCAAGCGGCTGATTTTTCAAATGGTCATAAATCATTTGTTGCTCAATACATGTTTATATTATCTAGTGGAAAAATTATGAAATATAGAAAAGGAGAGAGTTTAGTTTCCAAATGAAAGAATTAATCGACTTTCACTATGGGAAAACTGTAAATTAACGTCAGATTTAACGTTAGGAATATTTTCAACGGAATATTAGCAACTGATTAGCTTCTATTTGCGTCGCCCTGCGGTTTCACCTCTAAATGAAACGACGCAAGCAAGTTGCATCGAGCAGAAGTCACTAATCTAGTGCTCTATGGACGAAGCTAATAAGTATATCAACATCAGCCATATTCGACGCTAAAGCGAATGCAAGAGCCCTAAAATAGTGCTCCCGTGAACTGCAGCTCTATCACGCACCATCGTCTCCTTCGTCTTCCTCAAGTTTTATCCGTCGCCTCCTAAGCTTCCCCTGCAAAACTAGCTCCTATTCACTACTCCAACCCCGTCCAAGATGTGGAATCTTCATCTACGCCTCCAAGCTTTGGTTTAGCATAAGTTTTCATCTTCTTTTTCCTTGCATAGGTGTTGGCTCCGAAAATATCAAATTTTATTTGTATTTCATTGTTAGGTATGCAATAGGCATATGGTAAGTTTCGGTGGGAGACATGTAAATATATAAAAAAATTTGTGCTATGTATGAAAATTTTGGAGTGAGATAACTAAATGCATAAGAAAATTGTGGTATGTATGTAAATATGAAATTTAGGTGTGAGATATGTGAATGTATAAGAAATTTAGTGATATGTATGTGAATATGAAAATTTAGGAGTGAGTGAGAAATTTGTGCTATGTATATAAGGTTGAAAATTTAGGTATGAGATACGTAATAACAAAAGAAATGTGTTATGTATGTAAATAGGAAAATTTTGGTGTGATGTGTAACTGTAGATCACACCTAAATTTGTGTTATGTATGTGCATAGGAGAATTCAGATTGATTCTTTGAATTTGTGGGCTGTAAGTTTCGGGTATGATGTGTACGTGGCCTAAGGTTTCAAGTCGCATGTGTAATGTGGAGGTGTACTAATTTATAGAGCTACATCTATAATACAGATGAAGAAAGAATTTGAGTAGTAAGGGAGTTATTTGATTCAAGACATAAACTTTCATATTTATAATATCTATAATACTTCGGTGTCATAAACCTACACATGAAAGGTGAATTTTGCTTTTAAAAGGTAATGGTGATTTTTTTGGTATGATGTTCATGATTTCAGCATTTTGTACGCAAATATGAATGTTTAGTTGTCATAT